CTGCAAGCCGTACACTCTTCGTTTTGAATTATTATTATGTATCTGGCTTTATAAACCTATATATATATATATATATATATATATATATATATATATAATTTTTCCACCAACGTGAACTGAGACATTTAGAATTCAGAATCACGCCATCCTCATTAGATCCATTCTTATATTGTGAGTGAGCGTAAATGGTCAGTCAGCTGGTGCTTCGGTATCAGCAAAGATAAATCCAAAGGCTTTGGCAATCCAAATACATTCGAGAAATGTGAACGTATTTGCTTTTTTGGTGACAAATAACCTATTCACCAAGAAACTTCTAGGAATTTCCACTTTTACTCAGTAATTCAAGAGTGAAAGTAAATTCCATGTTTCCTAGTCATTCAAAAGACGGGATTGTGAGTGGACCAGTATTCGGGTACACTTATTCTCATGCATTTGAACAACCTAGCAATATGCCATCAACATTCAATAGTAATTCCCTGATGACACTGAGATACCCTCTGAGGTTGCAGCCTCGTCCTCGAAATGCCTTGACCGTCCTTGGTTTATTTCAAAATATGAGTATACTGGCGAGCGATTACTCATCCATGCATCTACTTTTACTGCTCTATCTTTGTCCCTACTCATCTAAACATCTCCACTTAAAACAATAACAAGCTACCACTACGTTTAAATATGTATCTTTTTCTGTTCCTATGAAAACGATGTCAATGAATACATCAATTATGTGATGATTAAATATTCTAATAATCCGTTTTCGCTTACGTTAGCACCTATTTCAGCTTTAACAGACAGTTCTAACTTTTTGCTGCTGCAATAGTTTTCTTCGTTATGTGCCATCTTTACAATGTGTAGGTGCTGATAATAGCTACTGCTGAAAAATTTTTCACGACAGAAAAAGTGGACTGAGCATTGACGACAACATAATTTGAAGGAAAATGTTCCTTCTAAACGCACTACTTGACATAACCAGTGACCCTAAACTTGCAAACCGTGTAGATCACGAAATTCGGAGAAGCTGATATTTAGTATCATTAAGTAGAACACTCATGAGAAGAATATGGAATACGTTTATTGATGATTTAACATGATAGATACAATTAATGATGCTGGATGCCACTTTCTTCCACAACGAACCCCATAAATTCACCGAAAGAAGACAAGAGTTCACAAAGTGTACAGCAAGACATTACTGTAAAGATGACAATTCACGAGTTAACGCTGCAAGATGTACTACAAAATTTTCATATCAGTGAGCGATTACACCAGTCATTCTGAAACAAGTCATTCTTTCCCCTCTACATAAGATGAAGGCATTTAGCCGAGTGCGTTCAAGAGAACTGTGTTGATACAGTCATTTACTCATATCATGACCTGGCGGAGATCTGAAGGCTGCCTGGAACAACAATTAGGAATCAATAAGAAGCCAGTAGGTTTGCCATAGCTCGTTCTAAAGATATTGGAACCTGGATGTGTATTGTCAAGTCGCCATCAAGTTCTCACACAAGGAGGCGACAGTAAGAAGTAAAATACCTGGTAGGCGGAATATCAGACATCTAAGAGAGGTTTGTGGGGCACCTTGTAAGTTGTAGTTCGTGCAAAAGAAAATATTCACTGCAGATTCGCACGTCGATATGACGCCATGAGCGAACGCTACAAGTGGTAACAGTATAACTATGATGAAGCCCAAAATGGTACTCATTATTCAAGGATGATATTCCAGTAGTCAGACATACCGCAAGGAAACCGTCATAAGCACGAGGGAACGGATCAATCTTACCATAACCGAGGAGGAAGAGTGGCAGCGTAGCATGACAGTCCTACAATACCTTGCAGTCTTAGATTCAATGTAAAACGTCATTCGATAATTGTCTAGGACCTTCGCATGAAAGAATATGAGTGGGCACCAACAAGCAAATATGATTACACTAACAACAAAAAGACTGGACATTCTACATTCACATTGCTAACAATATTCAGCATGCCGTTACTTTATGAAGATACAAAGAATAAAAAAGTAAGCCCAATTAAGAAAATAATCATAAAGTATACCAACGACATCTTGACACCCCGGAAAGTGTTTATTAAGAATGGTCAGTTGAGCGGTTTGTTATAACTTTTCATTAAGAAGAAATATTAGCGTCCTTGTTTCGAAATCACTTTAAATGAATTTGTTTTCTGGTCTTTAAGAATAGGGACGCCTTACTAGTTGTTTAATTCTATTTAATTCTCGAGTTTTTTTATTAGTTACACTTATACTTTTGCATTTTGCATAATTGTCGCAATAGTTATCTTTGCTTTGTTAAAGAGCGATCTGGAGCCTAAGTATACTACTAAGTATATCTAAATAGAACTACATTTCCAGGGAATGTACTGACATTATCGATTTGAAAGGAAAAAGTAAAAGCAACTGCTTTAGAACTTCAAAGTCTACTGCCCTCTGTATGTGGCAGGACCAAGATAGTTTAAGGTTTAAACAACATCTCTAGCATACATCCAACTTCTAATCAGAAGGCATTACTGAGTTCTTATAGTTATTTAGACTTTCAATTGATACGTCGCGAAATGAGTCTGTTTTGACATAAGTCGAGATATGCAGTTGGAAATAATTATTTTCAACTTTATTACGAAATCAAACAATGGTATTAGCTGCTCACAAGAAATGACATGGGAAAGTGTAGGTAGGGTGTGTATAACACATGAATTCGGAAGATATATGGAATATCTTCAAATTATAAATTTTCGTTATGCTGTTTACATCACCTGCTCATTAATAAAGGTAATCACTCTAGAGACAGACACATTGAAGTTACTGACAGGTGACTAGTTTTCCATTTCTGTCTCGTGGGAAGTTTGAAGCAGGCAACACTCAAAAATTTGTAGCCATAGGTTCTGCTACCAAAACCACAGACATGCAGGAAAATATCTTTGATTGAATATTTGCGCAAGAACATGTGCTTAATTGAAATAGTATTTGAAAATTGAATTAATTATGGATGTGCAGATAAAATAATATCTATCACATAGAGTTTATGAGACGGTGGGAATACGTATTTGAATAAGTAGACAGAGAGGTCTTGTTCGGTTTCAGAACCTAGAACTAAAGTCTGTTAATGCTAAAACTTTTCAATAAGACTTTTCGTGATTTGTAAGATGAAAAAGAGCATTAAGATATGTAACTCATATTTTATGTAATTCACTGGATCCTGATGACAGATTTGGAAGTCTCTAGTATTTGTGGACAAAGACGTTGACTGGCATATTTTAGACGTGAATTGCTGATACATCCTTAAAGAATGGAAACCTAACACAAACACAGTCACCTCGTTATTCTTAGAGAGTCGTGTGTAATAACCACCCATCACTTGGTTGAAAAACTAACTTAATCCAAGTTCAGATTAATCAGGCAATTGTTCTGACATAATTTTTTATGGAAGATTTTCTTAATATATTTGTGTATAAGACTTCGATAGCTACGATGATAAATCAATAATATTTGTAAAAGAATAACTGCGAATATTGGGAACAGAAATACAGCGTAAATGGTTCATAAGAGAATTAAAATTCTTAATCGTAAAACATTAAAATGATTTTCTGAAAATTTAATGAATGTGTTAAAAGAAGATTTTAAATTTATGACAAATTCAGTGTGGTAACAATAAAATTTGGTCAGCATATATATTTAATTAACCTTTTTGGAGAAAGTACTCCATAAAATAAACACCTATTGTGGAACGCTGTTAAGTGAATCTCATGTGGCAAGTACATAGGGTCAATCGTATCATAAAAGTATTTTGGATAAAAATAACTCCGTAAAAAATATATATACGTTTCTAAATTATCTAGAGTTGTGAAATGGTTTGATTTCCTGATATTGTGTCCAAAATACCATTTATGCATTCGTCTTTTGTCTAAAAAGATTTGAAAGTTTTTACCTCATATAGCTGTATAACTATAGAAAATGAACACTTCCTAAGAGATTCTAATGAAATTATCATCTGTTAGACAGTTTTATAGTATACGTAAGTTAACTTTCAACTTTATCTTTGTTCCAACACAATTGTCTTTTTTCTTTCTCCCTTCCCGTACATCAATGGGAAATACATAAGTTAAAGTAAATGCATATTACATGATAATCTGTATTATTTTCGGTATCAGTCTCCCTGCATTAAGCAGCAGTATTTCTTTTCGTACTCTACAAAGTGTTTGAAAATTTTGTAATTTTCTGACACACGCGCAGTGTGTATATTTGTGAAAATCCAGCAAATATTAGTAAGATGATTCTTTAACTTACTGAATTTGCACCTGCCTTGCTAATACGTTTGTAAATAATTCTCACTTTATTTAAGTGCTTGATTTGACAGAGTGTTTTCTTGTAGGTAGGCCTTTAGTGCCCATTTGTCATACAGTTTCTCCTTCTATAGACAAATTATTTTACTGATTTTTCATGTTATGATTATGAATTCGTTTCGTCGGCCCACTTCTTCTAGGCTAATGGTTGGATATCCCACTAGCCTTTTTCTTGACTAACCTACGTTTCGCCTTAAATTTTCATGTACAAAGATTCAGAATGTAACTGCGAACAATCTTTTTTCTATTTGAAAATAGCAAAACCCTGTATGTTTGTTGTTGACTAAATCAAAAATAAAATTTTGAAAATCATTATTCACTGTAATTTAGCATCAAAAAGTAAAATACTTCAGTGCTGATTCAGAAAGTTTCTCATCTGATAAAAATTAGTATATAATGTACTGCTTTGTATTTTGAAGACTGCAATATTTCTGGTTAAAAGCCTGTATTCATATGTACACTTTATCCACTCAATCTAATTATAGACAAACGTTCATGTAGCTGCAGTGAACCGAGTATTGACCATATTATCTCTCTTGCTAAATTCTCCTGAGCAATCGCTTCCACCAAAGTGAGAACTATGGCTAATTTGTTTTTGCTTGTAGATAATGTACAGTCATTTCCAAAACATATTTTGAAGGTGCATTCGTGACATGCCAAAAAAGAAGAAAGTCAAATCCAGTAAAAAGGGTGGCAAAAGACTGAGAACTTCAAGAAAGAAGAAAGTATAATCTTAATTATTCGTCTATAATTTTTGTTGAAGACAACTTTAGAAGTAAAAATTGAAAAATTTTGTGCGGACGAAGAGAAATACATTGAGTTTTTAAAGCGTTCAAACTTCTGGATAACTGAGAATATAGGACAACTAAAGAGTCTTCTTCACCAAACAGTTCACTACTCAGATACTAATTTCACTTACGATGATTTTAAAGCTGGTTTGTATTCTGGTTTATTGTTAACTATCGTATCACTTAAAAAGCTGTACTGTCATTAAACTGTCCATTCACCAAGCTCGAAATCGATGTTATTACAAGATTACTGGATCAAGACAAAAACGGCTTTATTGAATACGAAGATCTAGCTACCAGTTTAACAAATTTAAGGTAATTAATGACCCAATCAGTTGTTAGCTGTTTTATGCAACTTCTTCAGTGCATTTGGTTAATTTTAACTACCTCAAAATTTCCCAATTGCCACGGAATAAATTGTAAAATCTTTTCATTTGTACAAGAATTTAGCTGTTGATTCACATCTCTAGTCGCCTACTGTTTAATTAATATTCTTTGTTTCTAAATCCGCATTAGTCTGTGGATTTTTATTTTTTGAAATTTCGAGGTACACTTACAGCTTTGGACGCTTCGGTGATACGATGGGCTAACAGGAAATCAGGCCTAGTATAGTATTCTATTTGAAACCTGGCATATTTTTCTGCTTCGTTTAGTTTTCTTTAAGATTTAATTAAATTTGACAAAACAAACCATCTCAAACGCCAACTATTTACCACAAGCAGTACTTTTTATGTCATTTTGTAAAATCACTTGACAAATAAAAACAGTTAAGAATTCTGGAACGTCAAAATGTGTAATCAGTTGATAATATCTTTGGTTTCCAGTATGGGCCATACAAAAACATGTTAGTATCTTGAATGACGTTGGTAGAAAGGAAGAATCAACAGTTATAGACGTGTAGTGACAGGCCTGAAAAATGTTGAAATATGCGTATTAACTCCTTATCATCTTCAAGTTTATAAGCATCGTAATTAATATTCATGAGCTTTCCCTTTATCATATTGTACTTTCACTCTGTTTGTTTTCTCTTCTGTTTTGTACGTTATTTTGAAGTGCAGTACCTCAAAATGATAAGCTTTCCTCCAATTTTCAAATTATTGAAAGTTAACATTGTTAGGTTGAACGAACTCTAGTGGCTAGAAATCCTATTTTTCGTCCAGCTGGCTATATATTTAGATAGGAAAATACCTCTTTACCCACTGATTTTGTTTGTCAACGAAAACAGTTCCTCACAAAAGTACATTCACATGGATATACCACTGGATTAACTTAAATTGTAAGGAAAGCTAAAATCCACCTGATTATCACATGATGACTACCATAGGTTGTGTAAGAGAGTACCGACTATCACATTGCATTTCTTCAGATATAAACGTACAATAGTTTTCAGATTATCAGTGACATAGACGAAAGTTTGTCACCACAAACACACATTAATTCTGTTAGAACTCATGAGCCACTGAATCGCGTCCCAGTAGCTGAATGGTATACGAGCTTGCCTTGCAACCGGAATGTCCTGGGTTCAAACCCCAGTTGGTGCTTACTGCCGACGATTCCCAAAACTAGGATGAAACAGCTGTCTAGTACTCCCTGGTTTTCAATGGTTCTCTAACTGATATCAATCCGTGATCAACTCGTAAAAACATTAATTTAATCATTTTAAACTGACAGAAATTTTCGGATATTTTCACTAATTTTCTCCTAATCACTCTGTGTATTGAGTTACTTTTATCGTACAATGCTTTTGTTTTAAGCACTCTATCTGAATGCACTTTTGTCGTCTTAAAAGAAAACATTAAATATTATAGTATTAGCACTACCACTACCATGTGGTCATTTCTCCTTCTTCGTAATGTCCTGCAAGTGATAATCCCAGGCGTTTTGCAAGGAATAAATTAAAGTTTACATACATTGTATGTATCTAATCTCAACTAATATCATTATTTGTAAAGCATTTCTAGCGAAGCTTTTTTCACAGTTAACCAAGAATTTAATCAACTATGCATATTTTTTTTGTTTTGTGATAAGCATCTTTTTAACCTATCTACTAAAGAATTGCATTAATGCCTTTGTTTATTTCTTTTACTTTGTGTATTGGTTGCTATGGCCAAAGTTGTGTGAACCAAGCAATAAGTTAGTGTCCCATCTATACAGTCACTGCTATAATAAGAATAATGTATTTCTGTTACCAAAACATCTTACTCTGTAGTTAACTTGAATAAATCAAACATTTGACAAAAGTACTTAATATTGAACTAAGGCAGTCAGAACCATATTTGTAAAGCAACTTGTGTTAACTCAATCGAATCAACTTCAGAAATCGTTTGTGAAAACAAGTAGTTGGAAAACGACTAGGTAAACCACTTGACAAACAAACAACCTGCACATATTGAATCATAATTAAGTCACTTTTGAGCAGAAGCGTCACTGGAGATACTTTACTAATATTGGTATCAGTGTTGATTAGATAAATTTTTATTATATTCAAGTGTTGGTTTGCAGGGATTTGATTGGTTACCGGATTTCATCATCGACTGACATCAGTTAGAGAACTAGTGGAGAACTGAGGAGTACTGGACAGCTGTTTCGTTCTAGTTTGGGACTCCTCAGTAATTTGATGGTATTAGATGGTTGGAGGTGATCGGCAGGAAGCCTTGGACCTAGGTTTCGCGCTAGTTGACAGTCGTCAGCAAGGCGTATCTGCAACCTTGAAGGAACTCATGTCCCTTCTGAGATTCGAACCTGCGTCACCCAATGCTGCAGTCAGAGACGTTACCACTGAGCTATTCGGGCTCGCGATTGACCTACTGTAGGACTGTAGTGGATATTTTGATTTGACACTAGTGTGATACGTCTAGTCGTCTGATTGGTGTAGACTGAATTCTATCACTCAGGTTGTAATGTGCCCGAATAGCTCAGTGGTAACGTCTCTGACTGCAACACTGGGTGACGCGGGTTCGAATCTCAGAAGAGACATGAGTTCCTTCAAGGTTGCAGATACGCCTTGCTGACGAGCGCCAACTAGCGCGAAACCTAGGTCCAAGGCTTCCTGCCGATCACCTCCAACCATCTAATACCATCAAATCAATGTGGACCGTGATGGCGAGCTAGCTAGAATGGTGGTCACATTACAACCTGACCGATAGAATTCAGTCTACATCAATCAGAGGACTAGACGCATCACACTAGTTACTAGTGTCAAATCAAAAAACTCCTCAGTAATATACATAGTCTTTAGGTCAACTTGTTTCACTTAGAATTTAATCTTTGAAGAGATCCTGAGATTATGGCTTGCTAAGCATTATTATGAAACCGGATTCAGCAAAATAATAGGGACTATTTGAATCATGGTATGAAAATGGAAATTGTTTGGTGTCCTCCAAGCTTCTTTATTCAGAAGTTAGTTCTGAACATGCAGTCAAACCTCTTGAAAAAATATTCACGATTCACTGCCAGAGATCGAGAAACATCAAACAGTTTGCCTACCTGTTGATATATGGAATTTAAACTGTTATTTTTGTCAATAATAATATTATCAAAACTCATACAACTAAAAGTGCCACTACGGTTATCCTCACAAGAATAACAACTACTACTGCCAGTGAGATAGTCACTATTTCTACACTTAATATCACGTCTGCTACCTTCCAAAGCATTTTCGAAGGTAACATAGAGTAGATCATGTTGGAGGGCTCATGGGAAATCGTGGTGCTAGTTGAAAATGAAATTAGAGGATAAAGTACAATGAAGATGTGCTGCTTGATCTCTAAGTTCCACTCGGAACACAAGGAAGTAATAAACAATAACGGTATCCGTTAAATGAATTTATTTACTATTAAGCTAAGATTTACTAAAGCGATGGGCATTTTCAGCAATAATTTTTAGTTAGTCTTCTAATGCATTTCTTTACACCAAATGTCTAATTCTGCACCTCATTTCAGGTTTGTGTTGCATCTATGTCTTTTTTCAAATCTTCTTGTATGCAAGTATCGTTGGTTAGACATTTTCCAGGGGGTATCTTGATGCAGCACAATACATTTATATCAATATTATAAGCTTATCACCACAGAATAAAGTTCATCATTAGATTGATGCGTTTATACAATCTAATACCGTGAACTTCTAAGCCTGTACACTGGAACAGATGCAGTTTTATTAACCGTTTTGTGTGGATCTGTTAGTCTTTTTATATTCGTGATACGGAATTGAAAATTATTTTAAGCGGTTTTGTATTTATTTAGTGATATATTTTATTTGCTTCACTATTGGACTTTCATATAAGTCTGAAAAAGTGAACTTTTACACTATGGGGTTATTTACTTATTGTTCATTTATCTGAATAAGCTGACTAATTTACATAAATTCTAATGCAAACTAATAGTGCTTGTTGCTTTCTTTATTGATTTTCTTTGTTTTTTAGCCTTAAAGACGGGACTTTGAGAGCATTGGAAATTGAAAAAATACAGAAATCTGAAAGAGGGTTTGTAGATATTAAACGAGTAAATTTTGTAACTGAAATGTATTTTAGGAGGTAGACCGTTTATTATGGGATTAATGGTTATTGATTATTACATTCATATGTAGAGCTTCATTGTGCTTTATACGTTTGCAAAATATTACTGTTATCCGTATAAAGTTTGCCGGGGATTAACTCGTTTCAAAGTAATTATTCTATCCAACCAAGGTCATTTAGAGAACTAGTGGAGAACAAACAAAATTGAATAATTTTTTTTCTCTTACTGTAAAACTCTTAAGAAGTGTGTATTAGATTGCAATTCAGAGAATGCTGGAGTATTTTTCCTGAGAAGAATATCTTCGAGTTTTTCTTTCACACTGAATCGGAAGGGCGTTTTACCAAACTGCGACGAAGTAGCTATCCAGTCCGCTTTAGTTCTAATTTTGGTAATAGCACTACTTAAATTTAAGACTGTAAAAATGGAGTTTTAGAATTGTCTTAAATACGTTCAACTATATTTTAGAAAAGACTATCATTGGGTCACGGTATGATTACTGCTTAATTTAATGACCTATAACCTGTCTCTGTCTTCACATACACTGAGTGATGGCATAATTCATAGGGTCTTAGATTACAAATCAGTGTAAAGTGAACCAAAGGTCCAAATTAGGTCGATGGTAGAGCTGTAGGTAAAACCTCTGGTGAGTCTGAAACCAGAAATAAGTAGCCATCAAGTGCTTCGTGGATTTTAGTAGTTTTCCAAGCAATGTAAGTTCGTGATTCATTCTACCGGTTTTATTGGTACTTACTTACATCTGTGAAATTCTCAGATTTCTGTAATTTTAGTCATGTAACTAAAAAGGCTTCCTTATTCTGAAGATTAGTTACTTAGGTGCTGATAAAATACATTACTTGCCACAAGGAAAAAGTTTCTTTTGGATGCATAAACTATGAATTAGTGTAAGATGCGAAAGCAAGATGCACTTTAGTGCTTTTGCCTTATGAAAGTAGAACAAGTAAAGAAATATTTCCCTTCAGTAACTTAGCTTTTAAGCTGTGCAGACATATTTATATTAAATTACGAAGACAGTTAAAAAACCACTCAGTCGATGAAAATATGGTAAAAGTTAATTAACATGATTGTTAAGGATAAAGATGGTTGAAAGAGATAAAATATAGAAAAGGGAAGAAAATGACACTAAGTGATATAAAGTAAAATTAAGATAACTATGTAGGAAACCAATTCATGCAGAATAAAATTAATTGGATAGAAGATTATCAGACAAAGGAATGGGTATCACAAAAAATTCTTGAATACAGAATTCAGGTTATTTTTCATGTATGTATCTAGGGCTTTATATACACATGAATGATGAGAACTCAGGCATTAAGATTAATTGAATTTAACGCCGTAGACAACTAAAAAATTTAAATCCTGTTCAGTTAAACAACCTGGGTAGGGTTGTCTGCATACAGGTTGTTTGGTTATCTTATGTCAATTAATTTTTACAATATACACATTGACTAGGCATTGCTTTATTGCCACTTACAACCTTTCTGCTTGATGTAAATAAAACTGTAGAGAATGGAAATAAAATTGCTTAACAGAAACACCTATTTGCTGAATAAGTTTTTTCTTTATTAATATATATATATATATATATATATAAATCATGTGATGAATTACTGGAGTAGATCGACTTGTCCTTTAGTAAAGTAATATTAAATTTAATAATTCCCACTGTAACAATAAGGACACAATATTCGGTGAGGAGACTTTTCATGTAATTTATTGTCAAGCTGTACAATATATGTACATATACTACTGCTGGTTAAATCACCTCACAAGATATAGTTTCTTAAGAAGCATGTGTGTACGACTGTACGGCTTGATGACAACACATTAATTGAGAAGAATCTCTTCTCTGAATATGGTGTTCTTAATAATATAGCATTGGGCTATGCAAAATTTAAATTGGTAACAGATAGTGAGTAGGACACAAGTGACACTATTAACCAGAGAACTTTATTGACTTTTTTTTACAAACAGTACTTCATCACCACTTGATTATTTTTAATCCTTTTTATGCTAATCCAAATATATATTTACAGGTGGACTGTCTGCAAATTTCACTGTTTGAACTGTATAAATATATGTGATAGCCCACTACATTTTGAACGATTAGTCCCGCTGAACACTTTTACTGAAGGTTTGATAAGCATTATTCGGTAAGTAATAAAAATAGGTGAAAACAAAAACCTTTTCTTTTTTTTTCAAATAAAATGATATTTATGTGAATGTACTTAAGACAAATTTAGGCGACTGCATGAGATAACTAAACAATCTGCAGACTTCACTAACGTTCCCAGATCATCACTCACTGAGAAATGCAGGTACATCCAGCTGACAAGTCCCAATTAGGACGAAATGCGCATCCTGGATTCCACTGCTAGCCACCATCCACCAGTTGTATACAAATCAAATCTCCAGACATCGTCGAAGCATCTGCACAAGAAGCCGACATGTCAACCTGAGACCGAGCACTTCGGTCCAATCAATCGACGGGAAAATGTAAAATTGAATTAAATAATTAATATGACCCGTTGGACAAGAGGTGGCTGTCGTGGCCCGAGTGCTCTACCGGATAACGCTTTGGCGTTTGAAACTATGGGCACTGGGTTCGAGCCTCGGTGGGAACATCATCACTCACTGAGAAATGCAGGTACATCCAGATGACGAGTCCCAATTAGGACGAAATGTGCATCCTGGATTCCACTGCTAGCCACCATCCACCAATTTTGTTTGATTGCATGGAGGATTTCATCATGAGCTGACATTAGTTGGAGAACCACTGGAAAACCTGGGAGTACTGGACAGCCGTTTTGTTCTAGTTTGGGACTCATCATCAGTACTCAGCCATCGGAGTTCAAGTCACAATGCTAACTCGTAGACCATTCAGCAACTGGGATCCGACTCAATGGGATATGAATTCCAACTTACTTTGTAAACGGAAGGTCTTGAGTCCCGACTCTGGTGAGTGCGTTTTGATGATAGGTCTCAAACTAGAACGAAACAGCTGTCCAGTCCTCCCTGGTTTTCAGTGGTTCTATAACTAATATCAATCCGGGGTACAACTTATGACGAATGCTGTATTGTCGTGAACTTTTTTAAACAAAGCGTTTGACACGAACAATAAACAATGCACTCGTCTAGCTTTATGTTGAGTTTTATGTGAGTTCAAAGTATACTATGAAAAAGAATATTTCAAGAAGCATACATCAGGAAGAACATAAACTGTAAATTACCGAGAAACTTCATGAATAGTGCTTATTTCGTGTCTACAGTTAGGCTGTTTATGAGATTAATTCCCTACTTTCATTGTCAATGTATTCTAAATTTGGATATTTGAATAACAAAACCACTCTTAAGTGTTGTTGCAGCTGAAATAAATAAAAGTACTAGTAAAGCATAAAATGTGGTAAACAGTAAAAGGTAATGCTTATAAATAGTAATATATTTTTTGCAGCAACTTTCAATGAATACTTGATCCATTCAACTGGTGAAAAATTACTCCTACAAAATTTCGGTTCACCAGAACATCTAACCAAGCGATTTGTAGAGTCATATGGATTGCTAACTTAATTGTTTCTAAAACCATAAGTTCTGGTTAGATCCTTGAAAAGTTTTTTTGTTGACATTTTCTTTGTGGCAGAAACACGATAATGGAGTTCATAGAAATTTCCTAATTATCATTTCTTCCAGGACTTTAGTACTCTCGATGTTTTGAAATGTCTTAAAACTCTTAAGCCCTCACATAGTCTTGGCCCTGATGGCATACCTGCATATGTTCTAAAACAATGTGCAGATGCTTTATCCTCTCCTCTAACTAATATCCTAAATGCTTCTTTCTCCGAAAACGTTGTACCTGTTCCATGGAAAGACATTAAAATAGTCCCTGTCCCTAAACCTGGCAATAGCAAGAACGTAAAGTTCAGACCCATTGCCATCACTTCCCCGTTTCTAAAGCTCATGGAAAAACTAGTACTTCTTAAACTTGAACCCTCCCTTAAAAGCTTCGAAGACCCCAAACAATTTGCCTACAGACAGGGTAGGAGTACTTTAGACGCTGCAGCCGTCTTACACAACAGTATTGTCTCATCATTAGACAAAGGTGCCAAATATGTCCGCTGCACGTTTCTTGACTTCACTTCTGCTTTCGACTCTGTACCTAGATGTCTCTTGCTAAATAAGCTCTCCATGACACAAACCGAGTCCTGGGTCACTAACTGGTTGCATTCCTACTTTTCAAACAGAACGCAGTACACCGTATACAAAGGCGAATCCTCCTCTGCTGTGCTCACTGAAGCTGGTGTCCCCCAAGGGGCTGTACTCTCCCCACTTCTCTTTTCATTCTTCCTACATGACCTACCATCTTCAAATGACATTAACTTTGTCAAATATGCTGATGACCTAACTGTATCTTTACCTGTCAAATGTCAAAGTGACTGCTCTAAACTAAATGGCTTCTTATCAGAAATCAGCCAATGGTCCAAGGAAAACGGTCTCACCTTAAACCCCTCCAAATGCCAAACAGTTAATTTCACCTTTAGGCACAAATCTGACCTAAACAAACTGGTTAGGACTCACGAGATGTGCAACATAGATGGCACTGAAATTGAAACCAAGTCGGAAGTTAAATACCTAGGCGTCACTCTATCTTCTGATCTTTCCTGGTCGTCTCATATCTTGACGATTTCCAAGAAAATATTCCGTCTTACCTTCTACATCAAGAAGTTAAGACATTCTGGTGTAACCCAACCCTTACTCCTACAATTTGTTAACTTCCGTATTCTGCCTATTATTCTCTATTGTTCCCCCTTAGTCTTTCCTGGGCTATTGAAGAAAGACTATACCTTATTACGTAGGATGTTAAAGGTTGTCAGCAGGGTAAGCAGTTTGCCACTTAGCCAGCTTGTTAATATTCTGGTGGACAGGCACATGGACTCATGTGAAAAATGGGCAAAATCCATTTTATCTGACTCACAACACCCTCTACATTCACAACTCTCCCCATGTATCTCTTCAGGGAAAACCAGAAGCCTATATAGGAAACTATATGCCCGCACTAGCAAGTACAAAAACTCATCCATACCCTACCTAGCTCGTGTTCTGTGCGATAAAGAAAGCATAAGGCGTGAAACCTTTAACTTATTAAATAGTCAGTAGAACAAATGGATCTCGTCTTTCCAACTCACATCATTTACAGGTACAACGTTTTCTCTCTACCTTTTTTTGTTTTGTGCTGTTTTGTTTCTCTCTTCCTTACAAACTCTACTTAAAACATTCTTGTTCGTTCTTTCACACTCTGTATACCTCGACCATTTTGCTATCGCTTACGCCAGTAAATATGCTAGTAGTATCTACTTTTCTAACACCTTCAAACACTCTGTTTAAATTTTGGCTTTGCTACCGACATGCTAATATGTTGTTGTCAAAACTGACTGAGATAACCTTAATCTATGTAGAACTATATTTATTGTTAATGTACTAACTGGATGCAATATTGTAGTAAAATGCTGAGAATTCCATTCTGTATCACAAGTACTGATTTGGAGTAAAGCTTAACTTATCTATCTTCTTTAAATATATGCTAACACATTCTGGCACTTTCATCCATACCACAATACGTACAATGTTTCCCTAAATTAGAATACTAAATCAAATTAGGAAAACCTGACTAGAGAGACTGTATGTTGATCTTATCTTTTTACATGAATTATAAGCCAGATGCATTCAAACACAAGTTCTGTTATTAACTAGTAAAATTTTCTCTAAACAACACTCAAACTATATGGTAGACTGAAAAACAAGAATAGATAGTTTAGTCTTCATTAATAGCTTCGTAGATGGTCATTATAAACAATACAAAGACATTGTTCCAATGGTTCTCCAACCAATGTTAACTCATGATGAAATCCTGTAACCAATACAAAGACAGGTTTGAAAGGTGACTTCTATCCTTAAAAGAGGTTGATTTAACACCAATGGTCTTTACTTCACTACCTGAGGTATGATCTTGACTCTATAGTTCAAACTAAAGTAAATTATAGGTTCATATAAATGAGGCTTATTTCAGAATTAGGGTAAGTAACGATATTGTCTTAGTTTATTTTTTTATGGTAGATAACGTAGGTCAAACTTCCAAAGTTTTCTCCTAAATTCTTGCTATAAGAAGGTTCCTTTGGCGATTGTGTTAATGTATATCCACATTCCCATTTAGTTGCTGAAGTACTTTAATACTACCTCATGTGGTAAATTTTCTTCCCACTAGTATCTTTTCAAGTCATAAAAAAACAAATTAATAGTATATTCTAAATATGGTGAAATCTCTTGTTTAGTTAGAAAATATGGACATAAAGAAAGCTTTTTGAAAATTCTGACGAAAAAGAATTCAGCAGGAATCTCAAAGTCATATTTTTAGAGTAGACTCTTAATTTGTTTTCATAAAAACATTTCTAACCATTCTTATATTAATTTAATCCCAGTCAGCTAGGACTTCCATTGATTTCTTTTATCCCATGAGTTCCACAGTCATTCTGACCATCAGTCTCAAGATTATTTTTTAAAATTCTCTACAAGATTATCCTGGATTGTGGCTGAATAATGAATGAGCTGAGGAAGTGTTACTGAAGATGATTCCTTCTGTTGGTTGAAGTGTTCTGCCCATACTTGAATTGTCTGTTGACTAATATTACCAATGATCTGTTTTATTTTATCGGGAGTCATAATTACCTTCATTTTATAGCCCATCTGTTTAATGCACACATATTTACTGATTACAGTCTGTTGCCTATTTACAAAGTAACTTTGCTGTTTTTACTCTCACTGAAATGGTCACCTAAGACTCGAATGGAATATATCTTAGCATTTTAATATGCTTGAACGAAACTTCACATATCAAATAAATTTTAGTACCTTCAGTTTGACATTTACTTGGTGGAATGAAGATAATTGGATACAAGAGTATCTGATTAATGGTCACATTATTAAGCCAGATGATATAGCACTGAGCGGATGCGATGAAAACTATCAGCTGAATTCATTATTGTAATATATGGATAACTTGGTAGGGAAATAATTTTACTGCTCTTCTTGATTAGCATAAACAGGGTTGCATCCTATAATGGCTATGATGACGTTTCTGCATAAATAATACACTAAATTCAAGACTGAATTTGTAACAACGTTTATTGATGAATATAAAGCAACTACCTCAAGTTGCAATTCTTTTTTTTAATGTATGCAAATGTGACTAATTTTCTATAATGAGTAAAAAGCACCAATATAGCTAGTTAGCTATCCACTTGAAGTCGTTATGTGACACATATTGCATATCAACGTATAACCATATAAATAAATGATTTTCTAATATACAAAAGAGAGCGAAAATAAAACTAATCACCACTGTTACTTATCATACTTTTGAAGAATATAATAATTGCGTTATGCAGAATGCTAATGAAAAATGTTTCCTGAGTTTCCACTGATGATACTTTCTTGTCTCTACACTTACCTTTCACAGCCAAGAAACATTACTGTGGTTGCCACAAATATCAATCTTTGTAAGTGCCAATGAAGAACCTGATAGTGAATTGCAACCAGAATTCATGTTGTCTGACTATGATATCAAAAGTGGCAGCAAATACGATGCACCAAGTCTAGATCTATTCTACCGATCAACTGGTAGAATATTAAGGAATGATTCATGTGTGAATGAAGTGCACATTATGCCGGAAGAAATACAAGCAGATCCTATTTTATGGTCAAAATTAGTCATTGAAAATATTAAATTTCAAGAGAAATCAACTAAATACAACAAACTCCTTGCTACATTGGATCATGATAAGAATGTTTTTGCATAGATTTTTTATACACAGCTCAAAAATATTTTATCAACAAACAACTATTGTAAATAACAAACAATAGTAGTGCTACTAATGATGATAATGATAATAATGCTTATGGTCACACATTGTTTTCAGAACCTCGTTCTTACACAGTTTCAAAACATGGGCAATGAATATTAAATTCATGATCACTGTGTTATAGAAATTTGAGAAAGAATAACTACTTTGTTGAAAATACTTTGTTTATTATCCGGCAATTGCAAAACATTCAGATAGATAAGAGATTAATTCTTAGAAAGCTTAGTTCCTATTTATTTCCTACCTGAAAGATCTCACAGGCGTGTTATCTCATCCTTTCGCAGGACTGAACATCTCCCTGCTGGCATCTTCTGTCAGTGCACCATTTCGCTGAATCTCATAAATCGACAGTCTCCGTATTTGGTTAACTTGTTATATGCGAAATACCCTCAGTTTGGACAACACGAAGAAACGCTGACTTTCAAAGTTATAACTCTTCATTACAGTATAAATATATTGGTTAAAAAACTAAATGAAATAAAAGATACTTTTAATATAAACACGAAAAGTGTGATCAAAGAAGATTAAATAATCAGTGGTAGTGAAATCAGAATAATATGGTCGTGTCCAGAATAACGTAACGTTGATATACAATTATGAATGATCTTCTTTGCCATATCTCCTAGAAAATAAAATATACAACCAGAATAATTACGGTTATACTGATCTATTCATGAGCTTTGGTTTATCCCTATGTTTTATGATAACATAAGAATATCTAGTGAATGCAGTATATTACACGTTGTCTCTGACAAGTTCAACAACAAGCAATGAGAGAGACTTTTACTAATAATTGACTGAAATTTGATTAAAAACATTTTATGTTATTCAGAATAAAAGTCAATCACAAACTTTCACTTGCAGAAGAGTTAATATGTTTACAGATTTATTACTTAATATACAGAAAACGATTAAAGCAAACATTACCACTATGAATTAGCTTGAATAAGAAACATTAAATTGTAATCCCTGTAAGTCGTATTTTAATTCTTAACTGAAACAAATGAACGCATATTTCAAATTTCTTGCTGACTAGTACAAAAATTAGATCGGTATAATCCTTTTAATTGGGTCCTCAAAACACTTAACACTATGAACACTGTACCATAGTGTACAGCAGTGTTATAGCATCTACATTAGTAACTGCATGAAACACCACTGTTTCAGAACTAGATAACTACATAGGATATGATACGCAAATCGATTTATCTAGAGGGCCTTCATAGTTTCATCATATCTGTTAGGTCAGTGAATTCCAGCTGAAGGAATCGAATCCTAACAGCGGAAAGAAACAAAGTCAAACGTATTATTTAAGCATGTGTTTTCATTTTATTATAGTGTACTCAGCCTATATCATGAGGAAGGACATAACAAATAATTTATTTTGCAAGGTTCTCATCAATGCTTTCTTTACTGAAGTATTATGCTCATACCTTAAGTAAGTAACGACCATATTCACTGAGTGGTTCGACTATGGAGTAGTTATTAACAGTCACCTGGAATAACTTTAGAATGAAATAACCCATGTAAGTGTTCTCACAAGTCTTTTATTAGCTAATCTTGCAGGACTTATAATCATCGATCGTATCAGCAGTCAATGTATTTATAATGTATTTTATAGTGACCGATTTGGCAAATTAAGCCAACTAGAACTAATCTAATTCCTAACTAAAATGCTGACAATCCTACCACACATAGTAAAAAGATTTTTTCAAGAGTGAAAGTCGACTGTAGTAGACCGAATTTATGCAAAAAGTAAATAAATCATTATCGTCTGTATTTCAGAATAATGATTATCCTTGAAACTCTGTGGGGATTATCGTACTCCGGTTCTTTCCTGCACACACTTCTGCTTTAGTTCATTAACCAGTCAAATAACTTTTTCAAAATGTGATTGATGAATTCATTTCCAACCATAGGGGCTAAAGGAAAGTTTATTTTTCAGTTCATCAAAAATGTCTCACAGGTCCCGGTCAGAATAAAGAGTGACGTATCAACAGAATCCCTTTACAGAATGACAAGAGATGATAAGCCTAATTTAATTGATATACTGTGTACGAAAGAGTGGTCATCTAGTTTGATTCATTTATTTCAGAACAAACTGGAGGTCAATCTTCACGATGTATATTTTCCTCCATGGTTGATGTAGGATTAACCGAGTTTTCTCTGCGCACTTTAGAACATTTTCTAAAATAAAGATTACTTCCGAAAAGTGCAACACTCCATCAAATTGTTGTGTTATGCATCGAATCCTATAGAGGATAGAATTCAGCTGGAATATGATAGAGTTTCATCAAAAGTAGTGATATTGAAAAAAAGAATGCACCTGATTCATCCAGCCCCTCATTTTTATTCTCCAGTGCAGAATTTTCACCTTATAATATTACGAAGATTAATTTTCCTATAGCATCTTCAAATATATGAATAATAATAGTGATAAGTAGCAGACATCTATATAATAGCAAGATTTTTTGTATTGTTATGAAATTAACAAAAGGGTTAAGGAAATCTTCAACGTTACACAATTATTAATACACCATTCTCCAAACAATACGCCAATTTTGATTAAATACTAGGTGGTAAGTAACTAGCGTCATGCATCTATTTCATTATTTGGTGCAGACTGAATTCTATCAGTCAAGTTTGTAACGTGCCCATTGTGCTAAGTGGCTATTCGAGCTTGAATAGCTGAGTGGTAACGTCTCCAAGTGTTCCACTAGGGGACACAGGTTCGACGTTGCGGACACGCCTTGCTGACGAGTGCCAACAAGCACAAAAGCTCGGCCCAAGGCTTCCTGCTGAGTGCTTCCAACTATCTAATAATATGCCAATCAAATGAGGTATATCTCAGCATTTTTTACGTATTCGTATAGATTATGTGGTGCGTCGGTGGTATAGCGGTTAGGACGCTCGCCGACCATGCACATGGTCCGGGGTTCAGTCCCCGGCCGACGCACTCCTTTGCCTCGCTGAGCCAGAAATAATTCTGGTAAAGAGGAAGGGTTGGGCATGAGGCTAGTGATCCCATCCTGTAAAATAAACATTGCTACAGAAACGTCAAGCCACTAGCTTGAAGCCCTATATTCCACTGGGGAACGTGAAGGAAAAAAAATACATTATGTGCTGTTTGTCTTCTATGTTGTACAGAATGTAGGTAGTAGAGTCATTAATAGCAGTTGATCTTCGAGTATACTACCATACACTATGATGTCACTTCCTTTGTTTCTTTAAGTTCATAACGGTGGATTAAAAATGCAAAAATTATTTTGGTATGTTGTAAAACATTAATGGATAATATAAACAAAGGAGAAGTGATTCAGTCTACCAACACATGTGTGATGAAAACCTAGTTGTCCAAAAAAAGTCAAGCTGACCAAAGAATTGTCAACGGCTAAAAGAAAGTTTTCCAGCGGAATAGAATAATTAATTACACAAGTGAAACAGTATGTCAGATAACAATCACCCTATTTATTAGTAAAAAGTAATTTAAGTCTGAAGTCATCAGGATCAAAAAGAAGCAAATTTTTTTTCTTTGGTTATTCAGACTGAAATGATAGATAACAGAGTCAATTCTTGCAAATTGGCTTCACTTCAGTGTTTCACCTGTTAACAAACTTCCGTTATGCGATGTCATTCTGGTAGCATTCAACTCTTACTCAACACTTGTACTTCTTTGAAAAGATTTATCGTCTGTTTTAGTTTTCTCTGAGGTATACAAAGTTTGGTCACTTTAATTGCATAGCATGCTATGAATAATTTCGCAAACGTAATTACTTTTGTTATTGTCTAACCTAAAAATAAAATTGGAATGTTGCTTTACCCCGTGGTTAGACTGAATTAATATTCTTTAAATTCCTGCGAGTGTCATTGAGCTGAGATAATGTGGGTCTTTAATGCTTGACCCTGTTCACAGTACAAATATTTTTATTGATCTAGGTAAATAATAGTATTTGTGTTTGTAGTTCTCATTACTACATTTGAGAATTTCTCCGATGAATATTAAATATTATCATGATCTCAGTACATTTGAGAAATTAATTCTATCTAATGGTAATATCAACATAATCTAATTATTTTTAGTTGAATTAATTAAGATGGAATTCGGAATGTGTACATGTTGAGTAACATTATTTGTTGACTAGTAATAACAGAGTAGGGTAGAATATTGTTAGGAGTAGACAGATTAGGGTAAACAACCGATTAGTAAAATCACTGACTACTGACATGAATTATGTAGGGAAGTGTACGTTGCTTAGAGATGGTCATTTAGGTACTAAGAATCGATGATTATAGACCGTCTGGCAGAACCGTAATTGGCCAACATTTATCACTGAAGTCAAAAGCGCTAAGTAATTTCTTTCAACGTTTGGTGTCTGTAGTATTCATTTTACTCATCTCACTTATTTCAAGCCCACTTGTTAGGCGTTTTGGCTAAATATAGATAAAGCTGATAAGTAATAAATTATACAATTGGGGAAATATCTCCGGTTGAAAACATGAATCGCTTAATTGAATTATTTTTCGACTTCACACCTTTTCAAGCAGAATTATTCAACACCTAGTCATCATCGTCAGTCTGACTTATAATTACGCAAAACTGTAGATATTTTCATGTTTATTTATAAAGACTTATTTCATTCCTCTAACTTTTTATTCGAAGTCATCCTTCTACGCCTCCACTAGATTTATCCTTAAGTAATAGTAGAATCTAGGCACCATGGTAGAACATAATTACCCAATGATTAAGTGTATTTGACATAGTGCACACATTAGCTGTCCAACCTACTTATTTATCTCTATTTCCCATCTTCTCAGTCAATAATATCATTAACGGAACTGTCATCTTAGTATTATGAGGATATATAATTCAAACAAAACTATTCACATAATGAAAGAGGACAGAAATTATGGTTTTGAACCATTTAAAATTTATTAGCACGCCATAAAAATGATAATTTCAAGATATTGTGGTGAATTCGGAAAAAACATTTGGCTACACTTGAAGTATTTTGATGTAGCCACTCATTTTATCAGTCCAATTTTATTTGCGAAATCAAGCAAGAAGACAGTCTTGTGGTACTATTAAACTTCCACACTGATAAACCATGACCATCTGTGCATATATATATATATATATATATATATATATATATATATATATATATATATATATATATATTAAACACGCTCTTTTCCTATCACATTAGAAACCGTTGCTAATACCATCTTTCTTACCTTTCTTCTGGGTTGCTAAAACAAATGAAACAGAAAAATATGTATAAAAAGATAACTTTATTGTATTGATTAACAAATATGTAGTCAATATGATAAAACAAGAAACTAATAACTCAGTTAGTCTCGTCAACACAAAACGATATCATATGATACGATATGGTATAAAAAGATGAGAAGAAAAGAATTTTGAGGGAAAGAACTGATGGCCGTGAGTGTGTTTATGTCTTATTGCCCTGTGACTTAAAATTTTACCTCAATAATTTAACAAGAAGTTATGGCAAATATATTTTTTA